CTCTGTCGGCTGATTTCCTCGAGTAATTCCTGCAACCAAATCGCTTGCTTAGCTGCCTCTGTTGCAGCCATAAACTCTGCTTCGCATGAAGATAGTGCAACAGTTTCTTGCTTCTGTGAGCACCATGTTATAGGACAGTTATTGATGTAGAAAACATGTCCCGAAGTGCTTTTCCCATCGTCTAAGTCAACATTGTGACTACTGTCACTATATCCAACCAGACCAGATGTATTCGCTTCTTCAAACTTCAAACCGTATTTTAAGGTTCCTCGAAGATACCTTAGGATTTGTTTCAAGGCTATTCCATGGGATTCTTTTGGATCCTGCATATACCTGCTTAGCACTCCAACACAATACGAAAGATCAGGTCTTGTATGAAGTAGATATCGAAGACATCCTATGTTCCTCCTGTATTTCTTTTCATCGATGCTTCTTTCTTCAGGTGCCTTACTCAGATTTAAACCCGCATCCATTGGTATATGCACAGCATTGCAATCGCTTAATCCATTTTCTTCAAGTATTCTCTTTGCATATCTTTCTTGGTTTAGTGTGATACTATCTCCTTGTTGTAACACTTCTATCCCAAGGTAATATGTCAGTCTTCCCAAATCACTCATCTCAAAACGCTCTGCAATGTCCCGTTTGAACTCGAGAATTAAGTTCAAAGAAGATCCTGTGACAAGTAAGTCGTCCACGTACACAGCTACAACAAGAAGTAAACCCTTTTCTTCTTTTCGGTATAAAGAGGGTTCTTTCGAACACTTGCTGAATTTCAACTCCCGAAGGATCTGATTGAGCTTGTTGTTCCAGGCTCGTGGTGCTTGCCTAAGTCCATAGAGAGCTTTGTGTAGTTTGTATACTTTGCCCTCACTTCCTTTAACTACAAATCCCTCAGGTTGATGCACATAAACCTCCTCCTTTAATTCGCCATGTAAGAACGCTGTTTTTACATCAAGATGACGTACTTCCCACCTGTTCGAAGCGGCTAGTGCAATGATAAGGCGAATGGTTTCAATTCAGGCTACGGGAGCAAATACTTCATCGAAGTCAATACCAAACCTCTGCACATATATAATCCTTTGCGACAAGCCTTGATTTGTACTTATTTATGCTCCCATCAGAGTTATGCTTTATCTTAAACACCCACTTAAGTCCAATTGGTTTTGCTCCAACAGGAAGATCAACCAGGCTCCATGTTTTGTTCTTGTTAATCGAAGCTATCTCTTCTTCACATGCATCTCTCCAGACTTTTAACTCTTTTGCTTCATTGTAGTTCCAAGGTTCTTCGTCTATCGCAAGTAAAAGATGTTCCCCTTCAATCTCTGCAAGGAGAACGAAGTCTCCTAGATAACCTGGTTGTTTTCGTGCTCGCGATGAACGTCTAAGAACAGGTTGATCAGATTCATGTCCTTCAGTTCCTTCAGTCTCATACTCGAGACTATCACTAACATCGTTTCCTTCTGCATCATCGATGCTCTGATCATTCCCTGTCTCTTCTGTTTCATACGATCTTTTATCCCCTGTTTCGCTGCTTCCTCCATCTCTTAAAGCAAGAGTAAATGTCCCTGCGTCGTTATTAGCTTGGGTTCCTGAATTATTCCACTTCCAGCCCTTTGTTTCATCGAAAACAACATCACGGCTGACAATTATCTTCTTGCTTTTTGGTTCTAAAAGCCGATAAGCCTTTGACCCAGGCTCTGTTCCTAGATGAATCAGTTCTTGTGATCTATCATCTAGTTTCTTTAGGTGAGGAGTCGTTATTTTCGCATACCCAATACATCCGAAAACTTTTAAGTGTTCGATGTTAGGCTTCTTCCCCTTAAGTGCCTCATATGGAGTTTGTTTCAACAAAGTCTTCGTCCCTACTCTGTTTATGATATAGGTTGCGTGTCTCACAGCTTCTCCCCACAAGAAATTTGGAATTTTCATATGTTTCATGATGCTTCTTGTCATCTCCATAAGTGTTCTGTTCCTCCTTTCTACTACTCCATTCTGTTGAGGGGAGTATGGGGCAGTTAGGTGTCTTTTGATGCCTGTATCTTCGCAAAACTCATGAAATTCTTGAGACACAAACTCGCCTCCTCTGTCAGTGCGTAGAGTTTGAATCTTCAGACCAGTTTCTTGCTCAACAATTTGTTTGAACTTCTTAAATCTGCTGAATGCTTCACTCTTTTCTTTTAGCAGAAGGGACCACATGTATCGGGAATAATCATCTATCAGCACAAAGATGTATCTATTTAGTGCTGCTGTAGCCGGTGTAATTGGTCCACAAAGGTCGCCGTGGATCAGTTCAAGTGTTTGCTTTGCTCGATATGAGGTTGCCTGTGGGAAAGTCTTCCTTGTTTGTTTACCGAGTAAACATGCAGAGCAGGTTTCCTATTCAACTGCGATACTTGGTATACCTGTGACTAAATCATCTTTGATCATTGTCTTCAATGTGTTTATACCAACATGTCCAAGCCTTGCATGCCATTTAGCTGAGTCGCTTAAGGTTGTAATCTGCAGACACTTACTGTTTTCCACCTCCATTCGAACCTTGTAGAGCTGGTTTCTTGATCTTTGTGCTTTTACTAGTAACTTTCCATCACTCCCATAAAGTGTTAAGTAGTTCCCTTTCATGCGTACATCACATCCGGATTCTGTAGCCTGCCCTAGACTGATTATATTACTTCTGAGATCCGGTATGAAATAGACATCTGCAAGAATTTTCTTCTCACCATCCTTGCTCACAAACAGTATGGATCCCTTTCCCTTGATGTCAATGCGAGAATCATCTCCAAAGCGCACCTTTCCCGTGACACTTTCGTCAATCCTTGAGAAATAACTTCGGTTACCTGTCATGTGATTGCTAGCCCCGTTATCAAGATACCATATGTTTTCTTCATCGGACGTTGTCGCAAATTTGTCTGGCCTCACGTTTTTCTCATTGAGAAACACTACTTCATGCATCATCAACTTCTCTCCTTCGTGTGTGTCATCATCATTGACTTCATCTTCCTTAGTCTCTTGAAGTTTCAGCAATCTATCAGGACAACTTGATGCATAATGTCCCAGCTTGTCACACCGATAACAAGTAACTTTAGACAAATCTCTTGCCTCATTGGTTCTGCCACGACCTCTTCCTCTGTTATAGAAGCGTCCTCCTCGACCTCTGCCTCTAGATTCGTTACTATAGTTTCGGTTTGCTTGTGACTCTGTATTGGTGTACATCAGTTTTCCCTGATCTTCTTGTGATTCCTCATCGTCTCCTTGGATTCTTTCTTCGTAGGCTTTCAAGCGCCCAGTAATATCCTCAAAACTGGTGGTGTTGAGGTCTAATACTTGCTCGAGTGAAGCCACTATATGTATGAACTTCTTCCGAGGTAGACTTTTAAGAAACTTTCTAACAAGTTTCGGTTCTTCAATGATTGTTCCCAATGCTGCCGATTTTGAACATATTTCGGATAGCTTTCCACTGAAATCGTCTATGGTCTCCGTGTCCTTCATCGTTAACTTGTCAAACTCAGCCATTAGAGTCTGTAGTCGGGCTTCTCGGACTCTTTCTGCTCCGACATGCTTTGCTTTAATGGCGTTCCACACTTTCTTAGCCGTATCAAGACCGCCGATTTGTAAAACAGCTGCTTCGGGTATTGATTGGAAGATCAGAGCCATAGCGATGTCGTTTTTTTCTGCATCGTCTGACTCTGTTTCCACAATATCCCATACTTTGTGAACTCTGAGTAATATGCGCATCTTCAATCCCCATACGGTGTAGTTGGTTGAATTCAACATCGGACACTGAATTGTCGATGTGCTCATCTCCTTTGGTTTTGTGATCGGCACAATATCTCCCATGTTTGTACGAACTTAGTTTCTAGGTTTTGATCGATTGGTTTAATGGCTCTGATACCAAATATTATCAAAATAGCTTTGAGATCAAGTTGATAAAACTCTCTTTTATTAAACTTTAGGAAAACTCACTCAAAAACCTAAAAGATCAAAACTCAAAACTCATAAGTTATGCCACACATTGGCATCTCCTTATATAGATGTTTAGCTACTCCTAAACCTATTAGAATAAGGTAATTAGATAACTCCTAATTTTCTTTTCTTAAACCTAACTCTTTTAGGAAACATAACATAAAGAATCTTCTAGAAAACTTGCTCAACAAGCTTCTTTCAAGCTTACTCCAACAATCTCCCCCTTAAGCTTGAAATCTTCTTTAGTCACCTCCTTGACTCCAATGAGATCTCTCATCTCTTTAAACTTGGTTCTGCCGAGTGCTTTAGTCAGAATGTCAGCTTTCTGTTCTGTTCCCGGAACATGTTCAACCAGAATCTGCTCATTCTCAACACACTCTCTAATGAAGTGATACCTTCGGTGTATGTGCTTACTCCTTCCGTGAAACACTGGATTTTTAGTCAAGGCTATAGCTGATTTATTATCAATCCGAACCACAGCTTTTTCACATCCTGATCCAATGACTTCCTCGAGTAACTCCTGCAACCAAATCGCTTGCTTAGCTGCCTCTGTTGCAGCCATAAACTCTGCTTCGCATGAAGATAGTGCAACAGTTTCTTGCTTCTGTGAGCACCATGTTATAGGACAGTTATTGATGTAGAAAACATGTCCCGAAGTGCTTTTCCCATCGTCTAAGTCAACATTGTGACTACTGTCACTATATCCAACCAGACCAGATGTATTCGCTTCTTCAAACTTCAAACCGTATTTTAAGGTTCCTCGAAGATACCTTAGGATTTGTTTCAAGGCTATTCCATGGGATTCTTTTGGATCATGCATATACCTGCTTAGCACTCCAACACAATACGAAAGATCAGGTCTTGTATGAAGTAGATATCGAAGACATCCTATGTTCCTCCTGTATTTCTTTTCATCGATGCTTCTTTCTTCAGGTGCCTTACTCAGATTTAAACCCGCATCCATTGGTATATGCACAGCATTGCAATCGCTTAATCCATTTTCTTCAAGTATTCTCTTTGCATATCTTTCTTGGTTTAGTGTGATACTATCTCCTTGTTGTAACACTTCTATCCCAAGGTAATATGTCAGTCTTCCCAAATCACTCATCTCAAAACGCTCTGCCATGTCCCGTTTGAACTCGAGAATTAAGTTCAAAGAAGATCCTGTGACAAGTAAGTTGTCCACGTACACAGCTACAACAAGAAGTAAACCCTTTTCTTCTTTTCGGTATAAAGAGGGTTCTTTCGAACACTTGCTGAATTTCAACTCCCGAAGGATATGATTGAGCTTGTTGTTCCAGGCTCTTGGTGCTTGCCTAAGTCCATAGAGAGCTTTGTGTAGTTTGTATACTTTGCCCTCACTTCCTTTAACTACAAATCCCTCAGGTTGATGCACATAAACCTCCTCCTTTAATTCGCCATGTAAGAACGCTGTTTTTACATCAAGATGATGTACTTCCCACCTGTTCGAAGCGGCTAGTGCAATGATAAGGCGAATGGTTTCAATTCGGGCTACGGGAGCAAATACTTCATCGAAGTCAATACCAAACCTCTGCACATATA